CCCCGCGGGTCCCGGGGCCGTCGGCGGCCCGCCGCCCGCTTTGTCGCCCGCCCGCGACGTGGTTTCCTCGCCCCCCTCTCCCCTCTCCTGCCCGTCCAGGGCCCCGAACGGGGGTCAGGCCGTTTTCCGCCATCATAAGGAACCGTTGGTTTCAGCCCATAGTCTTCCTGTGCCACCTTTGTCCCGCCCTGGCAGTTGGCCGCCCCATTTTGGTTCGGTGTACCGCCTCCCCCCTTCCCCTCTCCCCCCCGTCAGCTGTTCGGCTCGTGAGCACCTGCCTCGCACATTCTCTCGAGCTGCACCTCCCGCGCCATCCACCCGACCAAGTGATGACGCCCAAGTTCTCGAAGCCTGTGCCGATGCCGTGGCCCGCCAAGACGTGCGCCGCGGGGGGGGCACCAACCCCCACAGCAAGGCCGACGCAGCGCCCAGTCCAGCAGGTAAGCTCGTCGGAGAGCGAAGGCGAGGAGTACGACATGATGTCCGAGGCGGCGACCTTTCGGACGGCACCGACGGTGCACGCGGAATCAGCGGCCCCCGCTGAGGACGCCGATGGAGGTGGCGGCACGGGGGCCGCCCCCAGTGCCGCCGCCTCCGATGGCGCCTCGGCGATGCCTGCATCGGCGGTGGTGCCAGTGACATCGGCCGCCCTGGCAGCGGCAGCCGCGTATGCCGACTTCACCACAGAGCAGCGGCGTGGGCTGGACGCGCTCGCCCTCGCGCTCCACAACCTTCAGCTGAGGGGGCATGCTGTGGGTGGCCGTGGCGGCCGTGGGGCGCGCAGCACTGCCGACGGCGAGCGCGCCGTGGACGACGGGGCCGCCAGCGAGGCCCCGAGTGCTGCGACCACGGGTGCCCTCAGCGGCCATGGGGGCAAGCGCCACCGCCGACGCAGCAACGAAGCCGTCTACGGCCAGCCCCCCCCAGTCGAGCGACGGCACACCGGCCGCGCTCGAAGACGTAGATATGCTGACGGAGGAGGACTACGCTGAGGCGGGCTACGCCCACTGCGTGGGCGCATATTGGGTCCCGCCGCACCGCCTGGGCTGGTGTCGGTAGTGCGCGGCGCTGGACGACTGGAAGATCATGGCGGTGGAGTACGTGGACGAGCTCAGCTGTGCGGAGATGCGCCGCCATGCGGAGGCCAAGGAGAACAACGAGAAATACACCGATCTGAGGGGGGGCAAAGAGGGGCAGTACAAGCTGTACATGTGCTCGAACTGCGTGGCGACGACGGAGGGCATCTCCGAGCACGAGGCCGTGACGCGCGCTGCGCGCGCGAACAAGGGCCCAGGCTCCATCGACCATGCCGCCAAGCGGGTGGCGAAGTTCCGTGCGAGCTTCGACTACATCAGGGAGGGCATGGACGTCCTGGTGGGGTTCGCGCTCTCAGAGGAAGGCTTGCTTGCCCTGCAGAGGTCAACGGAAGGCGTGGGGGTGGGCATCGACCCCGAGAGCACAGGCGCCCCCCCAGCCACAGAAGAAGTGGCGAGGGAGGTGGGCCGCCCAATGGCGAGGGAGGCGGGGGTGGTGCCAGGGCCGCCCCGTGCGCCACCCCCGCCCCTCGAGGAAGAACCCCCCAGTGATAAGGAGAACGACCCTCAGCCCGACGTGGACGCGGAGGACGAGAGGCTCCAGCTGACCGAGGCCCAGACCGTAAAGGAGGTGACGGACATCGAGCCCTTGCTGCGGCTCGGCATATCCAAGAAGTCGCTGAAGCGCGTGGCGCGGGCCTATGGCGCCCTCAAATTCGAGACCATGCGCGCCCACATGCTGGGCGGCCTGGGGGCCATCCTGGAGAAGAAGGAGGACATGGTGAGGGGCACCGAGGCGCAGGACGCAGCCCAGAAGTGGCTCGACGCGCTGGACGAGGAGGCGGAGGTGGATGTGGGAAGGCTGAAGAGGGGTGTCCTGGAAGCCTCGGGGATCGCAGATGCCCACCTGGGACACAAACGCGCCTGGAAGGAGGAGTGCCAGGGCAACACCGCGGCGCAGGAGGCCTACCGCCGCATGGGCGACTACACAGACCAGTTCTACCGTGACAAGGGCTTCACGTTCAACATGTGCTACAAATGCGCGGCCAACAAGACCTGGGATAATCCCAGGGGGTGCTGTTCGGTGATCCGCTCGGATCGGTGGTCACAGCTGTTCTCATGCGCCCAGGAGGCAGCGGGAGAGACGGGCCAGCGCTGGTACTGCCACTGCGGGGCGCGCTACTCGACCTCCTACGGAGTCTGCGTCGAGTTCATGGAGGAGGAGGCGAACCCGCCACGCGCGTACTACATGCACGCGGAGCATCCCGAGGAGGACACCCGCAACCTGAAGGCCCTGTTGCGCTACGACAAGCTCAAGAAGGAGGGGGTCGCAGTGCTCAACGCGGTGGACCTTCTGAGGCACCTGCCCAAGGTTGAGCCGATGGCGGTTGGCGCCGTCTTCAAGCGCTATGCCCCACATCAGGCACAGTGGGAGGGCCACTATGTGCTGATGGAGGGGCTCACCTGGGAGAGCCTCAGGGCAGGCGGGGGGCAGCGGCGACCTCGGCGGGGAGGCGCGGGCGCTGCCGTCGCAGGTCTTTGCTGCCATCGCGCAGGGAACAGGCCAGCAGGCCTGAGGGATAATGCCTAGCAGGTTCCAGGGCCTTGGCAGGCCGCGTGAGGCCATGCCAAATTGTCTACTTGCTGCTCTCTGTAGTGGGGCGGGCCCACAGCGGCGCCCCCCTCGCGCGGCGGCACCTGTAGCCATTGCTTAGGCTAGGCGCGAGACTACCTGTGCGCCCAGCCACCTGGGCTCGCCAACTGGCTTGCCATCTCGGCTTCCTCACGCTCACTTGCGCTCGTTGGCCTCGCTGGCGGTGCTGGGGCAGCCCCGTGTACTGCAGCGTCGCCGTCAGGAGCCTGGCCATTTTGGCTTGCCATCCTGGCCTCGTCTCGCGCTTTCTTGCGCTTGTAGGCTTGGGTGGCAGTACTGGGGTCGCCCCGCGTGCTGCTACGCTGCTTCCGGCGCCTTACTTTTTTGCCGTGGGGACCAGCTGCCCTCGGCCAGGCGCCAGCTGCTGCGTGCACGTCAGACCCGCCCTTGGCTTGCCATCCAGGCCTTGCCTCGGGTCTTCTCGCGCTAGTCGGCCTGGGTGGCGGTGCTGGGGTCGCCCCGTGTGCTGCTGTGTCGTTGCTGGCGCTTCACTCTGGGCTGTTAGTCCAACTGCCCACGGTGCGAGCGCCTGACGTTGCAAGCATGTCAGACCCGCCCTTTCACCCAGAAGAGGTGCGCGCTACATACTGGCAATGAGGCAGCCACAAGGACGCTCTTCCCTAGGTGGTTGAGCCGTGGTGATGTGGTGCACGAGACCGCCAGTAGTAGTAGTAGTAGTAGTAGTAGTAGTAGTAGTAG